AGCAAGGTGTTAGAGCCTGAGTGGAGCCCTACAGAGTATTAAATCGTCTGGAGCAAGTTCAGCCTGGTTTTACAAGGGTAAGTGCGGGGAGAATTGGACTTTTCCGAACATAAAACGCTGCAGTCCGCAGTGCTCACCCATGCGCTTTTGCAAAAATTCAAGTCAACTGCTGTGTGTTGGGCTACTGGGCCAAGCTTTTCAAACACAGGGGCCAAAAGCTTGACCCCCACATCCTGATCTGTGCTTCTCGATCAAGTGAGCAGCTTTTCAAAAGTCCTGAGCACCCAGGAGATCAATAGAAATTGGGATGTCTAGAAGTCAGCTTCATTTAGATACCTATGTCAGAGTGTGGGAGTCTCGTTTTAGGCTCTTACCTTTGAAAACGTTGCCTATAGTATATTCGAAAGGAGGTGCCTCTGATTCACAGTTCAGCATTTCTAAATAAAATGTGCATCAAGACAAAAGAAAACAAAAGCAATCTAAGAGGGGGTTTTTTCTTTAAAAGGAGAATGACTTTCATTTGAAATCAGCCCGCCTGTGTTGTGATACCCCGAACCCTACTGCATTACAGAATGAAGATGAAATGCTTTGCAAGAAGCGGAGGTGGGCTAATTCATAGTTCACTAAGCTAATTGATAAAGAATTCAGAGTGGCTTCTCTAGTGACCTATGAAACACGCTTGGAAATGTTGTATTTTTCTTTAGCATGGACTAGTCCGTGCATGATAGACAATGCAGGTCTCTTTACAATGTCTGGTTTCTGACTCCCATTCTGGGAGCTGGCATGCACGGGCCCCAGACAGCAGTGTGCGAGATGTTATAACATGAAGACATATAGACAGAAAGCCTGTGTGATTGCTGAGTATTTTTTTTCCTGTTAATCAGAAGGGATTTTAAAGCTGAACTGCTAAATACCCAGGAGCTCAGTAACACTGGGCCTGGGCCACTGAAACAGCATGAACAGGGCAGCTGTCAAAAAAATGTTCACAGCAAGCAGAGACGAAAGGGCGATTGCATTCACCGTAGCAAAACCTTGTCTTAGAAACTTTTAAAGAGAAGAGGAAACTTTCTTCCTGCGTGGGAAGCAAGCGACACGCACAGTAATATATTTGGTTACTCTGCCATGAAACCAGCAGTCGTTGACTTCTAGATTAGAATAATGAATAACTCCAATGGCAACTGCATAGGGCATCTGAATAGGACTTAAAGCTTTTTTCTTCCAAAAGCATGTGTGTGTGTGTGTATGTCCAGGAAGCAGAATTACTGAGCGGAGACGCTTATCTCCTTGGTGTCACATTTTAAATATCAGTGCAATCCACAGTGCTAGGAAGTCCTTCCCATCTGACATCTGGGTCTAACGGCTCAGCTGAACTAACCCACGACCTTTTATCACGTTTGGTAGAGGAGAAGGTGTTTGCCTTTTGAAGGCAATTAAAACCAGTTAGCATTATTTGGGCCCATTTTCAGCAAAACTGGCTTTGGATGTTAAAAGGCCGTGGAAACCAGGAGTGGCCGGAGGACTTCTGCTGTCCTTGGCAAGCCAGGAAACCTGTGATGCTTTCAGTTGGGTAAATCTTTACCCAATCTTTTCTTTCCCCTAAGGCTTTCCTGCCATAAATCACCAGCATCTATGCTAGAAATTGTGCCAGCGGAAGAGTTTTTTTGCTTGCTTGCAAGTGGTCTTTTTATGTGCCGTGCGACGAGACGCTGGGAGGAGCAGGCTGCGGTACCGCGGGGAAATCCGTGTTGGTGCTGCTCATGCCGCACCTGTTCTGCAGATGAAGAAAGGCTTCGGTCTTCACGCACCTTCCCTCCTCAGTAAACTAATTTGGAAATGAATCATGCAGGGAATGGGTGGGCAGATTATAATGTGCAAAAATCTTCAGACTTCAATGCCAAAAGTTAGTTGCTTAAATCCCTGCTTTAGGCACCAAAAATTGCCCGAATAGAAGCAACTTAGTTTGAAAACTGGTTCCCATAGAGGTGGAAGAGATCTGTTGAGTTACCTTATCTACATCTGGGTGGAAGTCAGCTGGGATTTTACTTTATTGAATCCACCCCCTCCTATCCCTAAGCATCCTAGTATATCAGTCCATACTGCCATCCTAGTGCTGCACTTCTGGCTGTAGTCTTCAAACACTGCAGCAACACCATTCATAAACACAAATGTGATTTTTTAAACCACCTGGTTTGACTCTGTTCTTTGCATTTCCATCTCTGCTCCAAGTTGGATTAGATTGCAAAAGCCCTAAGGAAGCAATGCAATTGAAAGGCAAGGGAGTTTTGCTGAGATATTAAAGAAGATAAGTAAGCCTAGCTGGTGACAAATGAGTTAATAGATCTAAATGGAGGTTGTTTCAGAGTCCTTGTCTGGATTACAGACGCATTTCGGTGGAGAGGTTCACACTTCTCTCTCTCTGTTGCTTGAAAGCCATTAAAATAAAATTTCACGTTAAGGACACAGGAGGCAAATGAAAGGGCAGATGTAATGTTGGGGGGTGATGTTTTTAACCGCTGCCTATCAATCCGAACAGAACAACCCCGTGTTACTGAGTTTGCAGCGGGCCAGCTAATTGAGCTGCCTCTGCAGGTACGAGAAAGCAGCAAGCCCCTATTGGACTCTAGGTATCCAGGTTGTGGATGATATCAAATTTTAGGCAATTAAAAAAAAATGATATCTTCATATTTTCCCAAGCAAGAAACAACTTTGACCACCGGAAACCTGAGCCCCTGCCTCGGTCTGAAGTAATTTGCATCATCACAGCCTCGCAGGATTGCTGAGACCCCTACCAGCTAAGAGCTGCTGCCCAGAGGGTTTGTCCATCTATTGACCCCTCTGTAAAATCCTATGAAATATGAACTTTCATTTCTACCCAGGAGCATGTGCCAATACAGGTATCATCATTAGAGATGAGCCCTTGTTCCAGTCCTGAAATAAGCTGCTCCCTCTCTAAACCACATGCAACCTCTGTAGCCCTGCCAGACTACCGGGGCTCGGACTACAGCTCCAGACCCAGCTCTCTTGCTTTGCATAGTTACTGCTTCAAGATTGCACCATGATCATTTTATGCTGGTTTTTAAAAGTGATTCTGGGTTTTCCTCGCTATTTGGATAGTAGAAGGTACTTCTGCTATTCTTTCTAGCATGGCAGTGCAGTTGGGGGGTGTCAGTCAGGCCTCCTGCTATACCTATCTCATTCCTTCCTTCCTTGCAACAGGCTTTAGGAAGCGTTATCAAGGGGGAAAGAAGTCAAGTGTGAAAGCGCAAAAAAGGACTTATGGGAACAAGAGCTTGAGACTCGGTTTTGCTCTTCAGTGCAGTTATTGAACGCGGCCTGGACACGAAGCCTTCATGCGTGTTATGCTTTGCTTGGCCGAGGCAGCAGGATTAACCACGCTATGAACATCAAAAATAACACAGCGAAAGCTGTGGGGGACATCTGTGTATGCATGTGCGTGTCTGCCCGCACCCATCTATCAGCTGCATAGCATTAGGGGTAAGATTTGCACAACCATCGCACATCTGTCTGCCATCTGGGAGGGAAGGATGCTTGCATGAATGCTTGTGACCACATCCGTGCGTGCACTTGCCTGTGGAGCCCATGTGAGCGGGAGTGCATTTGCCGTTTGTGAGAGCGGGGCTGCGTGTACAAGGGCGGCTGCGGGGCTCCCGGACGCACGAGGCACCAGTCTCCTGATTCCAGCAAAGGTTTCTTTTGCGAGGTCGCGGCTGCATCTGGATGTGTGTTATTATAACGCGGGGGAGAGACCAGAATTGCTACCACAAAAGTTTTGGTCTGTGCAAGTCCTTGGCAGCGGCTCGTTCGAAAACCCCCTGGAATTTCTCTCTCGGCCTCTGACATCAATACAGAAATTGAGGATGGGAAATAAAGTTTTGAAAACACTTTTGCTCCCGAGAGTGCTGAAGAGCTCCTTCAGGGTTTAAATACCCTGAGATACTTTTCCTGCTTTATTTTTTTTGTTGGTTAGTTTAAAACTGCCCTAAAATATAAGGCTAAAATCCTTAAAGCCTATGGCAAAATTTCCTTAGATGAATCCAAGGACCAGGATTTCACCTATGCTTTTTCTCTTTGAGAGAACAAAAAAACAGCAATTTTCCCAGCTGGTGCAAACCAGCCCTAATTTCACAGGAGCGGATCTGCCCTACTCATTAGATCCTCAGTTTTTCTGTTCATTTTCCTGGCCTAAACACCATCCTAGCTTTATAATAACCACAGCATTTTTCAAGACAACCAGACCAACAAATACTTGGTGGGATTTGTATTATCTGCCCTCCGAGATTTTTTCCCCAGCATCATTTCTCCCTTTGCTTTTTCGTATCCAGCAAGCACTGAGATTCAGATATTGGTAGATAGTCCAAACACTGGAAGTATCCCACAGTTCCCAGGTGACATGCCTAGAAACTCAGCTTATTAACTGTATCCGTTTTTAGCTATAAAAATGATGGGTCCCATAGAAAAAAGCTGTCGCAGATCAATAGATTAGATGTCGAAAGGCCCTCGAGATCCAGGTTGTAGCCAAGACATCGCCTCTACCACGAGCCCCGATTGCTCTGGATCCTGGAGGCTTTTAAAATGGACGTCAGGGAAAAAGATAATTATTCTGTTAATTTGTTTTTTGGGTTAAAAAAAACCCTTCATTTTCTAGTTTCATAGGTGTTAGCGGCTGAACAAAAGGGAAAAAAAAAACCCTTTGCATTTAAACCCAACCTGATTTTCAAAACTAGCTGGATTGAAACCCATGCATCTTTGCAAAAATCTACAATGAACTCCCAGAAAGGTAAAAAAATAAAAATAAATAAAATAAAATAAAGCCAGCTGTCTCTTAGCTGAGAAAGGAAAGGGGGAAAAAATGCTGCAAGCTGATGTTTGACGCCAGCCACCCAGTAGATGGCAATAGCCCTGTATCTTTGCAGGGCTCAGGCTGGGATCCTGCTTTTTATTGCAGACCCAGGCAGGAAATGACCTCTTCCTCTCGGAAATGACCTTGCTTTGCATTGCCATGTGAGCTCCCCAGGAGCTGGGGGAGGGGGCAGCATTGCACAGAGGGTCCCCTGATTTGCAAAACCCAAGCTGAAAGCATGGGGAAAAAAAGCAAGAAGGAGAAGAAGGTGAAAGGGGCTGAGAAAACAGCTGCTAAGATGGAGAAAAAAGTCTCCAAGAGATCTAAGAAAGAGGAGGTAAATGAGGCTGCTGGGGCAGGGGCAGGGGATGGGGATGGTGGGGGGATCCTTCCCTGCCTGCAGCCTTTCAGGGGTTGCAGCTGTTGCTTCCTGAGCTGCACAAGGGGCTGCAAAGGGCAGGGAGGCTGCAGCCTGAATGCATGAGCTCCCCTGAGCACAGGGAGGGAGGGAGGAAGGAAGGATCTTCCTGGGTGCAATAAAAGCAGACTGAGAGTTGTTGGACATGCAGATGCTATTGTGCTTTTTTTAACAGGTAGAGCAGGGGGGATTGCAATGGGAGTATGCACCAGCTGCGAGCAAATGCACACACTTCCCAGTTTCCTAACGGGAGCAGGCAGGAGAGAAAGCAAGTGCTTTCCCCTCTCCCAAGCAGTGCGTGCTGCTGCTGCAATTGCACGCATTTTTTTAACAGGTAGAGCAGGGGGGATTGCAATGGGAGTATGCACCAGCTGCGAGCAAATGCACACACTTCCCAGTTTCCTAACGGGAGCAGGCAGGAGAGAAAGCAAGTGCTTTCCCCTCTCCCAAGCAGCGTGTGTGCTGCTGCAGTTGCACGCAAGCACCCGTGCATGCAAGCACCCATGCACACGGTGCCGCATGGCTGCTGTCTCCTGGTTCAGATCACCTAAAAGCCTTTATTTCCCCACCAGGTTTTTTAAGAGATGCCTGAAGGTTAGGGCTGTGCTCCCCATCCAGGTGGGACTCGGACCTTTTTTGTTGCATTTCATGCTGTTCTCCCCAGGGGTTTCTCTAAGGCAAAACATCCCAGACCATAATGTAGGAGTAAAATTAGGAACAGAGCCGTCATGCTTGTAACTTAGCCTGGCCGGTAATTAGAGAAAAAGTTTCTTATGAACATTAGGAGCCTGTTGCGTGCATCACCACCAGACCTGCCCCAAGGTCACGTCCTCCAGGTACCATCTGGTGCCTTGTGGTTAAGGCAATTTGTGGATGGTAAACTTTTTTTGAATAGCCTTAAAGGAAGCTGTGGGTGGAAGAGCTCATTCAGCTTTTCAAGTGAAAACCCAACCACTGCAAAGAAAGGACATTTAAATAGATGGTGGCAGGTTAATAATCTGATTTAAGAAAGTAGCTAGTTTCCTTCCTTGTGTTGCACACAGAGGACTGAAATTTGAATGAATCCTGCCAACCCAATCTGCATCTCGATGCATATGCAAAGAAAGGATATTTAAAAAGGTTAATAATCTGATTTAAGAAATTAGCCCGTTTCCTTCCTTTTGTTGCATGTGGAGGAATGAAATGTGAATGAATCCCGCCAACCCAATCTGCATCTCGTTATAGATGAACCGACTGACAAACCCCGGTTCTCCCCCTTGATCTTCTGGGCCCTTTGCGTGGGCAAGGCAGGCCATGATGAGCAGTGAATTGCAGATGTGGGGTCGCTCCTCAGCCTGTCTGCTAACTTTTTGAACTTGTCACAGCCTGGTTTAAAAAACCAGATTGTATTTCCAGGGCCTTCTGCTCTAACATACCTCTGAATGGTTAATTGTCTGTGATTTTTGCTTTTTAAGAGGTTCCCTTTGAACTGACAGACGAGCAGGGGTTCAAAGAATCGCCCCAAGCAAGAGTAACTAGGCTAGAAGAGGCTAAGTGAGAGAGACATTACAGGAGGTAGATATTATTTATGTAGTTTAAATTGCTGAAGAGCTTATCCCAATGCCAGACGTATTTGTAACTTGGCTGAACTGCAGCTAAGAAAATGACATACCTAGCTGCAAATATTTTGACATAACTAGCTGCAAATAATGCATAAAGACAGCTGCAAATATTGCATAATGTCATAACTAGCTGCAAATAATGCATAAAGACATAACTAGCTGACAATAATGCATAAAGACATACCTAGCTGCAAATATTCTGGCATAACTAGCTGCAAATATTGCATAAAGACATAACTAGCTGCAAATATTGCAGGGTCGGAGCAGTATACAAGGGGAGGAATTAATGGACCAGTCCTGCAAAAGGCGGAGTGCTCTCGTCTGATTCGGTGACGACCCTTGCTCAATGTCAAGTCTGTGAGCAGTGCTACTGAAATAATGACGCTCTCCCCATGATTAAAATAAAGCATGGGCTAGTGTGCTCACCACCTTGGAGTGGCGCGCTGCCGGACACAGGGCAAAGGAAAGCGAGAGGATGAAATGAAAATTGAACGTTAGGGAAAATATCCTGACTGATCTATCAGGCTATAGAGCGGTCACTACCATGGTCGCTAGTATGGATGCCTTGTCACTTGAGACATGCAAACTAGTGGGCATGGAAAAACTAGGAAATGCAGTGAAGGGAAGAGTTGCATTTTTTTCCACCTTGGTTGTCAATGCTTCTATTGAAAAACTCACGGAGACATTTTTGTTGCTCCCAGTGTTTGTCAAACTGATATTTTCCTATTTTCCAACAATCTGAATTTGCCCGTAGAGAGTATCTCCTTGCTCCGTGCCACTGCAGACGGGGAAAGTTTCAACCTATGGACTCAAGCGTCTTACCCAGTGATCACAAAGATAGCACAAGAGAAAGTTGGGTTAAGAATGAATGAAAAACCCCCCAGCCGTAATCAGTCCAAGCATACATGCTACTTGCCTGGGCTTCTCTGCAGAGGATGTAGGAGTGGTTTTCAGCTTTCAAATAACCTGCAGCTTTGGGGTGCATGGATTTATTTTATTTTACAAGAACTGAAGGAAAGTAAAAGCAATGTAAATTTGAAATAGCAAATGCTTTTGCCTTTCTGCTCACGCTGCCACGCTGTGGGTGCTGTCATGTTGCAGCCAACTTGGAAAATCAGCAGACTCTCCTAGCAGAGACCTGCCTCTCGTGCTGGGTGCAACATAGAGCCTGAGTGCCCCATCATTGATTGAAATGACTGTAAGCACACGTGAGAAAAGCCAAATAGTAGCTCCTGTGATCTTATACGGTCTGCAGATGACCACGCTCATCAAGAAACTCATGTCAAACTGGCTGGTTATTTCCAGGAGGATCTTGAAGCCCTGATAGCGGAGTTCCAGACATTAGATGCCAAAAAGACCCAGATCATTGAAACATCCTGCCCTCCACCCTCTCCAAGGTAAGAGATGGCATGGTTTCGGCTGTTGCTACCCAACAGGTGACAGACAATTCGTTTATTTAAAGATTTAAAGCGTGTAGTATCAGGTCCCGGTGCTCTTGTGCAGTGGTGAGGTGTATAGGATGGAGCGGCAGAGTCCGCACTCAAACCTCCTTTATATTTTCCCGTCAGCCTACCAAATAACCTGAATCCTGTCGAAGTCGGTAATTCAACTGGAAGGTTTTGGAAGGGTTGATGCCATTTAAAAATGAAGGGAAACCCTGTGATTTGGATAAAATTGCTCATTATGAGATGCATTATGGCCAGACACAGGACTGGTACCCAGATCTCACCAGGTTCTGCATTCCTGGCACTGCCACGACTCACTTAAAAGATGCTTTGACCTCTCAAGGGTGTAAGTTTTCCCCTCTGGACACAGGGGAAGGTTTCTCTTTGTCTTCCTCCCAAGGATACTGGGGGGGACAGCTAACCTGAGGTCCCAAGGGCCTGGTTACCTGTTGGATGTTGGCGGTGGTGCATGGTCTCTGCTCCTATTACAACTGGGGCACGGTTCGGTGGAAGCTTTCTGCAGATAACTTCAAATGAGACAGCCCTGTCCAAGCCATTGTTAAGTGCCATGATGAAGTTAATCTTTGCTCCTGATAAGCCAGCATTAAAATTGAAGAAGTCATGTCAGAGGCCATGTTAAATGACAGTATAATGTGCATTCTTAAAATAGGAAAAGTGTCCAATTAATCTCTCTGGATGTTTCCAAAAAGTTAATTTCTTCAGGAAGTTTTTAGCTTGGAAATAGAAAAAAGTGTCACGTGCTGATAACTGCGTGGGTGATGGAGAGAGACTTTCCTTAGGAGGGGAAAGGGCTAGCACTGGCTGAATTATGTGTCTAGACCTAGCTTTCAAGCTGTGTTTCAAATGGTTTCTTCACATGCTGACGTCTCCCCATCTCCCCCTCTCTTGCAGGTTGAATGCCTCCTTCTCTGCTCACCCCGAGAAAGACGAATTGATCCTTTTTGGAGGTGAATATTTCAATGGCCAAAAAGTAACGTATACTTCCATCTATCAATTTTCTCCCCCACCTCCCCTCTCTGTCTTTGCTATAATTTGCATGGGCTCTGTCTGGAGCAAGATTTCAAAGAAGTAGTCATAAAATATGTATTTTTCCCAGAATGAGAACAAAATAGGCTGTTAATTTCACAGTAATACTGTCTCGTGCCTGAGCTGTCGGCGGGAGATTGGAGGGCTGCAGTCCATTAAGGGGTCAGAGTGACTGCCTAAGCATCAGTATTTCAGGGCTTCCTAATTTCTGTAGGCTCGGTACAGGCTGTAGTTGCCCCTCATCCTTGGTTCCTATTGTACGATCTGTTTCCCTGATCGTTTAAAATGAGCAACTCCTATTAGCTGAACAGCTCCTGCCTGGAAATTTTGCACATAGCAATTATTTATCCAGAGCTTTTGCCTGGGAGTTTTGCACGTAGCAGTTATTAGCTGGCGTGCTGGATGCACCTCTGTGTGCTTGGGCCTGAAATCTGCCCTACGCTCTCTATGTAGTGAACTCGGTCTACTGCACTGTCATTTGCTTGGTTGCTTGTGTCCATCCTTGTCGAGCAACCGCTTCCATTGTACTCCTGATGTCTCTTTTTATGTACATCCTTGCTGGGCTCCTTTTCTCAGGCCTCTGTCCTCTCAAACATCCAGTGACCCACCACTTGGAGAAGAGGGTTGGGTCGCCCCTTGGCATCAGTAGATTGCTCCAGAGACTGACATCCGGAGGCAGGCTCCCCACCTCCTGGGTCCCTTGATAGGGGGTGGGGGCTCACTGCAGCCTGGGGTAGCAGGAGAATAGAAATGACATTTATTTGCACAGGACATGACAAGCCTGAAGCCCAGGACAGTCTCTGGAGCACTGATTGCCCAGCATCAGAGCCATACTATGCATCTTTTTTCCACCTAGTGGAGAAGGGCTGT